AGGGAGTGGAAGCTTTTCTTGAGGGAAGCCTTTCTTGGGAAGCTTTCTTGAGCCTTCTTGGGGCCTGCTTAAAGTTTTCTTTACACCTCTGACTGGTCTCTGTGTCGTCAATCCCGACACCTTCCACACATTCTCGGATACAGGCTGCACACTCTCCCTCTCTCCTCTCTCTCCCCCTCTCTCTCCTCTCTTTCTCTCTCTCTCTGTCCTCTCTGTCCTCTCTCCCCCTCTCTCTCCTATCCTCTCTCCTCTCTCTCTTTTCTTTCTCTCTCTCCCCTCTCTTTCTTCTCCTCTCTCCCCCTCTCTCCTCTTCTCTCTCCTCTCTCTCTTTCTCTCCCTCCTCTCACCCCCTCTCCCCCCTCTCCTCTCTCCTCTCTCTCTCTCTCTCTCTCTCTCTCTCTCTCTCTCTCTCCTTATAAGTTCCTCCCCTTCCCATAATGCCACATGGCTACGCCTAACCCTTCAACACCAGCCTCTGGAGGATGTCTAAGACCCATGCTTTGGAGACCAGAGTGCAGGACTACTGCAGGTTGAGGCTGGTCTAGGCCACACCCTTCTCCAGTTCCACAGCATACTTGGAATGGAGGGAAAGTTGCTGAGTCTGTGACCTACAGCATCCTTAGGAAACTGACCCAGATGGGAACCTTGTCAGGACTCAGCAACGCCCCTTCCCATCTGGCTGGAGAATTAGGCATGATCCTTCCCTCACATCCTGTTGTTCTTTCTTGGGATGACATTCTGCACTGGGCTCTGACGCAGGGTCCAGGATGTCTTGACTGTGACTGGCACCTCTGACCTGCATGGGGACTGTAGGAAGTCAGCAGGTTTCCGCACAACGTGGCTTCCCTAGCCTCTGGGGCAGCAGGGTCTCATTGGCTTCACCTTACTTGACAGCTTGTGTGTAATCCTTCAGATGGCAAAGAATCCCTTGGAATGGGTCTTAGTTCTGTAGCCACTACCATGTGACCTAGAGCCAGATTACGTTGTCTGTGCCTCTTGTCCCCTTTGTAGAGGGTCCTGACCACACTTGTCTTTACCAGCACAGCTCTCTGCCTTAGAGCTCCGGTGGCTCATGCTTGGGGGGCAGGAGGCCTGACTGTGGTAGGTAGGGGTGGGTGCTGGAAGATAAGCTTCTCTTTTCCCAAGTTGTTCCTTCCTCCTTTCTGAAGCTACTAGATGTGCTTAGTGCCACCTGCATAGTCCCCCGCTTGAACTCAGCTGTTTCCTGCTTCCCCAGGACCCTGGGGACCCTGGAAGAAGATAGTGAGGCTGATGTGTCCAGTGTTTCTGAATTGGGAGTGGTTAGTCAGGGTTCTTTTGGCCTGGAGAGACAGGAGCTGGCACAGTTAGGCAATAGACGCATACCCTGGTGGGCCTGATGAGCCAATAGAGCATGAGTCCTAAGTGTGCTATGGATAGTCAGGCTCAGAGCACTCAGTGAGTCTACACTGAAGTCCCACTTCACAGAGACGAGATGCATGTGGGTCCCAGAGGTCACGGAGCTGTAGGGAGGATTGAAGCTTTAAACTCAGGCAGCCTGACTCCTCAGCTGTGAACCAGCCAAGACCGTGTCTGTGTGGATAATGAGGTCCGTGTATAATGCAAGCTGTGTGTAGGTATGTGTGGGAGCAAACAAAAAACAAGACAGTTGCTTCAACAAGGAGTTTACTGCCCTCCTAGGAAAGGGTACCTGGAGGTACAAAGTCAGTGTGATGCCTGTTTATGGATTCATAGCCTTCTCCCATGTTGCCTTGCCATTCTCGTGGGGCTTCTTTGTGGGAGAAACAGCCGCTGGGTTCCAGTCAGCAGGAAGGAGGAAGGGGAAAGGGAAAGGTGCTGCCCCCACCCGAGGGCTCTGTCCTTGACCGGCCCAGCTAGGCACCGGCGCTTATCAGTGAGGAAAAGGAGAAATGGAGGGTAAGGGAGGTTTCTTTCCTTTATGGTGGGTAAGGGAGGTTTCTTTCCTTTCTTTCTTCCTTTCTTTTTTTCTTGATGGGGGAGGTCCTTCTGTATATATGTTTCTCTTATTGGTTGATGACTAAAACAGTTTGGCTAATAGCCAGTAGAGGCAGGAAGATAGGCAGGACAAGGAGACAAGGAGAATTCTGGGAAAGGTAGGCAGAGGGAGACCAGAAAGAGACACCATGTAGCCACCAAAAAGAGCAACGGGGCAGGGCATTTTCCGGTAAGCCAAGACCATGTGGAAACACACAGATTAATAGAAATGGGTTAATAATTAAGACAGAGCTATCCAATAAGAAGCCCCAGCCATCCGCCAACAGTTTTATAACTAATATAGCATCTCTGTGTTTTTGGGGCTGAAAGGTGACAGCGGGACCAGGCTGGCGAGAAAACTTTCAGCAACATTTTCTTTCTTTCTCCCCCCCCCTCTGTCTCTCTCTGTCTCTCTGTCTCTGTCTCTGTCTCTGTCTCTGTCTCTGTCTCTCTCTCTCTCTCTCTCTCTTTCTTTCTTTCTTTCTTTCTTTCTTTCTTTCTTGAGACAGGCTTTCTCTTGTGTGGCTTTGGAGGCCGTCCTGGAACTAGCTCTTGTAGACCACGCTGGCCTGGAACTCACAGAGATCCGCCTGCCTCTGCCTCCCGAGTGCTGGGATCAAAGGTGGTTGCCACCACTGCCTGGCCAGTAGAGGTTCCTTATTGCATGCCATTGAGCAAACTTAGCATTTAGGAAAGGGCTCTAGACTGCTAGTTCTTGTAACATTTAGCTACAGGGACTTAAGAGTCCCTTAAGTCTCATTCTCTGCTACACAAGTGGGGAGACTAAGGCCCAAGACAGCGGTGACCCAGGTTTGACCTCTCTCTCTCATCTCAGACATCTGCCCTGGCACCGACCTGCTGGTGCTGTCAAGGAAGCCAAGAGCTCAGCTGGAACCCTTCCAAGGATGGATTTCTTGGCCAGGTTGCAGCTGGGAAATCCCCTCCTCAGCATCTGGGCCTTCCTGTGGCTGTAGTCACTCTACCTCAACCCTGCAACTTGCCTGGTCTCCCTCCCAGACGCCCCTCTCTCAGGGCTCTGGGTCTGCAGTAAGTGGGACATAGGGCATTGCTGGTGGCTTCCCGTGGCCCCACCAGCTCTAACCTGTACCTCCCACCCGTGAAAGGGCTGAGTTTATCTAGACGGTGACTCCAGTGAAGAATTTCATGCTGGCAAACTCAGGAAGAGAATTCGGCTTATAGGCTTGTTGCTGTCTCTGTGCAGCTGGGCAGGTAGGGTCCCTTAGGCTGACCATCCCTAGAGCACAGGCAGGACCTGAGGCTGATATGGCACCCAGGGTGCTGCCCACAGCTGAGGAGAGAAGTAGTGTGGAGGCCTGAGGGAGAAACTGAGGACAGAGAAGCTACAACCAGCTGGATTGCGAAAGAAATTCAAGTTTATTCTCTGAAGCCGGCTGTGGGGATGGGGAGGCCAGGGTGCCCTCCTAGGAGGAGGGTAGGTCTTCAGACCCCGGATGCCCATAGACTAGTGAGGAGGCTGAGCAGGAGGGCTGTGTCACCAAATCTGTGCCAGCCTGGAGGGCACCCGGCCCCACTGCCCTGGGGCTTGTTAGCCCTTCCACCCTTGGGCAAGCTAGCCTCATCCCTCTGAGGATGGGTAATCTTGACAACCTGGGGATGGCCAACCCTGCCACCTTGAGGATGTCTGGCTCCACCATCCACGGGGATGCCTGCAATGCCACCTTGAGGACGTCTGGCTCCACCATCCACGGGGATGCCTGCAATGCCACCCAGAGAGTCCAGGACTTGGGGGCTTTGCCAGGGTGGAATATTGCACAGTGTGGACTGGCAACAGCTCTTGGTCACTTGGGTGCCTAATACCGTCCTGGTGAAGGCTTGGCAGGTATCGGTACACCACATGGAGTAGGTGGTCAGGAGACCTTTGTCTGGGGGATGTGGAGAACAGGCGGTGAGGGCGGGGCGGGGTGTCTGACCCCCCCCGTGTGCCTCTCCAAATGCTCACCAGTGTTGCCGTGCGAGATGAGTGTGGTGCAGAAGGCCCGGCTGTGGTAGCAGCCCCGTGTCTGGTTGCAGCTCTCCCCACTGTGTAGCGACTGGCAGATGTAGCACCTTAAGGATTCTGCGGGGAGCAAGCCAGCTCGGGATGAGAGCAGGGCCTCCAGGGCCGTCCCCAAGCACCTGCCCCCGCCATCCACCAGCCCTCCTGAAAGAGCCTGTGCCTTCAGCTATCAAGAACAACAGAACATGGGGGTTGGATAAGCTGCCTGGGGCTAAGGAAGCAGGTAAGTGGGGAGTGGGAAGGGAGGGAGGGGGAGGGGAGGGCGGGCAGAGAGGGGCAGACCCGAGTGACAGCTCAGGGAGGAGACACCTGCAGCCTGAGGGGAGAGCCAGGGTGCTGGCATGCTAGGGCCTGGCTTGGATGCCAGCAGCTGCCTCTGCTTTCCCCTCGGGACAGGAGGTGAGCGATGGAGAGCGCCGCATGCGGAGCAGGAAGCTGCCCTCGGCTGGAGTGGGTACCTCTGTCCCTGCTGTCAGGGACCATGTTGCTCTCCTCTTCCTCCTCCTCTTCATAGTCATCATCGTAGTCATAGCTCTCTGACCCCACGTCCACGTCCCCATCTTCCTCTTGTGCCCACCTGCTCCCTGGTGGCGCAGTGACATCTGTGAGCCTTGGATGTCCAGACTCGGAGGACACACACTCGGGGAGGACACACTTGGGGAGGACACACTCGGGGAGGACACACTCGGGGAGGACACACTCGGGGATGGACACACTCGGGGATGACACACTCGGGGAGGACACACTCGGGGATGGACACACTCGGGGATGGACACACTCGGGGAGGGCACACTGGGGATGGACACACTCGGGGAGGTCACACTGGGGATGGACACACTCGGGGATGGACACAGTTGGGAGGGGGAAGACACACTCGGGGAGGGCACACTGGGGAGGACACAGTCGGGGAGGACACACTCGGGGATGGACACACTCGGGGATGGACACACTCGGGGATGGACACACTCGGGGAAGACACACTCGGGGAAGACACACTCGGGGATGGACACACTCGGGGAGGACACAGTCGGGGAGGACACACTCGGGGATGGACACACTCGGGGAAGACACACTCGGGGATGGACACACTCGGGGAGGACACAGTCGGGGAGGACACACTCGGGGAAGACACACTCGGGGAGGACACACTCGGGGAGGACACAGTCGGGGAGGACACACTCGGGGAGGACACACTCGGGGAGGACACACTCGGGGATGGACACACTCGGGGAGGACACACTCGGGGAGGACACACTCGGGGAGGACACACTGGGGATGGACACACTCGGGGAGGTCACACTCGGGGAGGACACACTCGGGGATGGACACACTCAGGGAGGACACACTCGGGGAGGACACACTCGGGGAGGGCACACTGGGGATGGACACACTCGGGAATGGACACACTCGGGGAGGGCACACTGGGGATGGACACACTCGGGGAGGACACACTCGGGGAGGACACACTCGGGTATGGGCACTGAGTGCTGACCCTAACACTCCCTCTTTCCTGGGTCCCTTCCATTTTACACGAGAAGACAGACTTCTCCCTACCCCTACCGCCGCAATGCCGAAGCAGCCAAGCCTGTAGCTGGCAGAAGGAAGGACCTCCGGGCCTGCTGTCTTCCTCCCCAAGCCTAGTCCTAGGATAAGGGGCTCCTGGAGGTACCCATGGGTTGGGACTGGACCGCCCCTTCTTGAGATGACCCTCACCTGACTGTCCACTTAGCAGCAAGACCAGGAGGACAGCCCTAAGTGCCTCCATTCTGGCACAGGCTGCTCTGTCCACTGGCGCAGTCTTCTCTCAGGGCTCTGGGTCTGCAGTAAGTGGGACATAGGGCATTGCTGGTGGCTTCCCGTGGCCCCGCCAGCTCTAACCTGAAACAATGGGCCTCACATTGGTCTTCAGCTGCAGGTGGCAGCAGGCCAGGAACATCGCTTTCCTCAAGGACCTCGGGGGATAGAGAGGAAGGGGAAGTTGTTATATTGGCCTTGGGTGTCCTGTCTACCTGAGCTATTCCCATTGCCTGGTGGGGTCTACAAAAGATAAGCACTGACCTCAGGAACCACCTGTCCTGACTCCTGGGCCTCCAGGCCTCGGCACTGTCATCCTTGATGTGAGCTTGGTGAGATAAGCACCTATCACAAACCTCAGGGGACCCTGGCTGCACAGCTCCAAGGGCTTAGGACTGTGAGGGCCGCTGGCAGGCACCTTCCACCTGAGTGCCGAGTATTCAGATGAGCGCGCGTGGTCTGTCCAGCTGCAGCGCTGAGAGCCGCTCCTGCCCTTGACTTTGCTGGCCCAGGCTCCTGCTTTGCTGGCCGCCTCCTCCTTAGACTGTAGCCCCCTCTCCTTCAATCTCTTTGTGAGTTACCTCCCCTGAAGTTTCCCTACTGCTCCATACCACACTTCGTTGGATGTCTGTCCTTTGATATTGCCACCTCTAACCCTCAAGGATATCCCAACCACTGGTGCGGCTACAGAAGGTGGGCGTTGTCCCTGGGCTTCTGCACCTAGGTAGGTATTGACCTTGAGGCGGGGAGCCTTCTGGGACTGGTTACAGTCTACCTGGCCTGGCTTCTGCCTGACAAAGCCATTAGCTCCAGCCACTGTCTCCCCAGTGTGAGCCCTTGGTGGCTTCAGGTCTCTCCCTGGGTACAGGGGTGGTATGGCCATGTCCTTTGACAGCACCAATAGTAGGAGCTGCTGCTCATCCCTCCCAGACCCAGAGCATACTGTCCCCAGGCCTACGGGAGAGTTTGCAGAAGGGAGAGCTAGGTCCCGAAGAGTCATGTTCCCTCACCTGAGGTATGGAGGAGGCTGGACAGGAGGCTGAGTCAGTGTCAGGCCCTGGGGAGTTTGCCTGTCATGTGGTTTGGGCCAGTTTCTTGTCTAAACCTCGGATTCCTGGATCATACGTAGGGCGTAGGAGAAATGGCCAATCCCCAGGGGTCATTCGGAGCAGACATTTGAGCCCCAGCTTCCAGTCCCTGCTCCTCAAATTATCTAGCCTCATCTTTCTCCCAGGGTGAGGTGACCATTAAGGCAAAGGAGGGCGCCTGGCATAGGTGGTCCCCTCTGGGCTGACTGGAAGGCCCTTCTCTGATGACTCAGCCATGAGCGTCCCGTGCCTCTGCCTCCTCTCAGCATTTGGGGACTTGCCCAGCCCTGCACCCATTCCCAAGTCCTCAGAGGCACAGTCTTCCCCGAGCCAGGCCCACCATCCCCTTCGGTCTGCCTTCTGACCCCACTCTTTGCTGGCCACGTTCTTACCTCCAGGCGCTGGCTGCTTCCTCCAGCGGCCTCTGACCTAGTGAGGGCATTGGCCTCCCAGGACCCTGCAAGGACAAGTAAGCTTGCTACTGCGTTCCCCTCCAATGGGCCTAGGCTCTGTCGGGCAGTCTCCCTGTGAGCCTAGTTCCTCCTCTTCTGGGACCACATATACCCAGGCCTGAGCTGGTGAGAATTTTAGAAGAGGGACAGCGACATTTAGGGAATGCAGGGGCGGGGGTGGTGAGCCACTTCCTTTGACAACATCAACATTGGGAGACGCACATTGTCCTCGGTATTGTATGCACCCCTCCCTGGCCCAGCACATGCTGTCCCACAGGAAAGGCTGCTTGAGTCTGGTCCAGCTAGGCAGGGCTGATGACCCTTGGGTGGGGATGAGGTTGCTTATCTGATACCTCGATGGCAGATATCTGCTCCCCTCAGTTCTGTGTGGGTGGGAGTCACTGTGTTCTGTATGCATGGATCCTCATTTCCCCTCCCCCCCACTCTGCATGGCCTCTTGAGCAGACCCAAGGGGGTTCATACCTCCTCTGGCATGAGGACATGTCCATTAAGATCCCCAGATGCTGGTCTAGTGGCCCTGAGATGCCCAGAGCCATCGTGGAGCCTGGGTCCAGGACCTCTCTTGCTGGGTCACATCTCCCTTCTATTAGAGGCTTTGCTCCTACCTGGGTGCCCTGAAAGCGACCAGTCAGCTGGCTTTTGGCTTGCAGACCTTTCCACCTGGGGCTCTGGTTTCGCCTTCACTGTCTGAGTCCTTGGGCTCTGAGGGTGCTCCTGGGCTCTGGGGGTGCTCCTGGGCTCTGGGGGTGCTCCTGGGTTCTGAGGGTGCTCCTGGGTTCTGAGGGTGCTCCTGGGCTCTCACTTTGCTCTTTTTGGCAGCAGCAGTCTGCAGACAGGGAATTCCTGGCTACTCATGCTCTCCCCAGTGAGGCGATCAGGTAACTGGTTAGGTTGGGCAGGCGGGGCATTATTGAGGGCTGCAAGCTATTTTCCTGCCACGCCTGTGACACATGCCCGTGACACACACCTGTGACACATGCCCATGACACACACCCGTGACACACACCCGTGACACACGCCTGTGACAGACACATGCCTGTGACAGACACACATCTGTGACAGACACACGCCTGTGACACACACCTGTGACACACGCCTGTGACACACACCCGTGACACATGCCCGTGGCACACGCCCGTGACACACGCCTGTGACAGACACATGCCTGTGACAGACACACATCTGTGACAGACACACGCCTGTGACACACGCCTGTGACACACGCCTGTGACACACACCCGTGACACATGCCCGTGGCACACGCCCGTGACACACGCCCGTGGCACACACCTGTCCCCCAAGGCAGGGACAGTGGAAACCTGCGAGGAGTAGCCTGGCCCACAGGCCCGAGAAGGCAAGAGTGTCTGTGGAGGGGACAGGTTACTGAGCTAGGACAGGACTCTGGTGAGGGCACCTTACACCCAGGACGCTGTGGAATGTAGCGATTGGGACAACAGCTATTGGAGAAGCTGAAGCAGCTGGCTGCGGGCACACAGGGCCTGGTGGCAGAGTCTGCATCTTGCAGTAGGCAGGAGGCAGAGCCGTGGGCGTTCTCACGTGCTGCCCCAGGGAGAACCTCCTCGGTGGCTTACCTTTGTCCTTCCTTTGGCATCCTCTCAGAAGTGGGCAAGAAGGCAAGACCTGCTTGGGTCTCCAGCTGGGATCCAGGACAAAACCAGGTGACTCCTGAGATGAGGAAGGCCACCTCACAGAGAGCTCAGAGTGGGATAGCACTAGGGGCTTGTCTGTACCTCGTGGGAGAGACCCTCACCCTGTATACTTGGGCTTCCAAGGGGCCTTAGTGGGTTGTGAGGACAGCACAGGGGACCCTCAGACTAGGACCAGGATGAAGCAGAGATATGCAGCTTGGTCCCTGATGTCCCCAGCTGGGGCAGAGAACCCTGTGCTCCTGCATTTACCACTCTTCAGCTTCAGAGGCCTACCCTTAGATACTGGCTGCTGTACACTGAGGCTCAAATCCTAAAAGCACATTTTAGGAAGAGAAACAAAGAGTCAGGCTGTCTGAAGACCACCTTGGAGTGGGGGCCAGGAGGCAACCACCAACTCCTGCTCTCCCCTCCTCCCTGGAGCAGCAATAGGTACTGGTAGCTTCCTGTCCCTCCTCATGTCTTAGGAGTCCAACTAGACCATGCTGGCTTCTTCTTCTCTGTACAACAGCTAGTTACCTTGGCCAGGGGCCTATCTCTGTCTGGAAGCAGCCTTGGCTCTTGGCTTGTGAGTTCTGTGTGCTGCTGCAAGCCATGCTTTTCTGAGTGAATTGTTTTATAAGAATGGTTATTTCTTACAGCAAGATTTACTTACTTCGAAAAGGAAAACCCCTGGGTGAGTTAAATCTAGCAGCTAGAAGCACAAATAATGATTTAAAACTGGGTGGTCCCCACAGTGGTGGTGGGCCCTGAACTTGACTGGTGCATCCTGGGGTGATGGACTAAAAGCCCAGCTGCCTGTTTGTAAAAGCCTGTTCTCCAGTTAGGTTTCACTTGGGCTCTGAGTCAATGCAACCTGAAGACTTGAGTGTTGAGGACATCTTAGGGCCACATTCAGTTTGGTTCAGTCTCACAGCTAGGGAGCAGGTTCAGGGAGATGTCTGGTCCAGATGCTCTTCAGTGTGGACTGTGCAGTGTGGACTGTGCAGTGTGGACTGTGCAGTGTGGACTGTGCAGTGTGGACTGTGCAGTGTGGACTGCGCAGTGTGGAATGCGCAGTGTGGAATGCGCAGTGTGGAATGCGCAGTGTGGACTGCGCAGTGTGGAATGTACAGTGTGGAATGTACAGTGTGGACTGTGCAGTGGGGACTGTGCAGTGTGGACTGTGCAGTGTGGACTGCGCAGTGTGGACTGCGCAGTGTGGAATGCGCAGTGTGGACTGTGCAGTGTGGACTGTGCAGTGTGGACTGTGCAGTGTGGACTGCGCAGTGTGGACTGCGCAGTGTGGACTGCGCAGTGTGGAATGTACAGTGTGGAATGTACAGTGTGGACTGTGCAGTGGGGACTGTGCAGTGGGGACTGTGCAGTGTGGACTGTGCAGTGTGGACTGCGCAGTGTGGAATGTACAGTGTGGACTGTGCAGTGTGGAATGTACAGTGTGGACTGTGCAGTGGGGACTGTGCAGTGTGGACTGTGCAGTGTGGACTGCGCAGTGTGGACTGCGCAGTGTGGACTGCGCAGTGTGGACTGTGCAGTGTGGAATGTACAGTGTGGACTGTGCAGTGTGGACTGTGCAGTGGGGACTGTGCAGTGTGGACTGTGCAGTGTGGACTGCGCAGTGTGGACTGCGCAGTGTGGACTGTGCAGTGTGGAATGTACAGTGTGGACTGTGCAGTGGGGACTGTGCAGTGGGGACTGTGCAGTGGGGACTGTGCAGTGGGGACTGTGCAGTGGGGACTGTGCAGTGTGGACTTGCAGTGTGGACTTGCAGTGTGGACTGTGCAGTGTGGACTGTGCAGTGTGGACTGTGCAGTGTGGACTGTGCAGTGTGGACTGCGCAGTGTGGAATGCGCAGTGTGGAATGCGCAGTGTGGAATGCGCAGTGTGGACTGCGCAGTGTGGAATGTACAGTGTGGAATGTACAGTGTGGACTGTGCAGTGTGGACTGTGCAGTGGGGACTGCGCAGTGTGGACTGTGCAGTGTGGACTGTGCAGTGGGGACTGCGCAGTGTGGAATGCGCAGTGTGGAATGCGCAGTGTGGAATGTACAGTGTGGAATGTACAGTGTGGAATGCGCAGTGTGGACTGTGCAGTGGGGACTGTGCAGTGTGGACTGTGCAGTGTGGACTGCGCAGTGTGGACTGCGCAGTGTGGAATGCGCAGTGTGGACTGTGCAGTGTGGACTGTGCAGTGTGGAATGTACAGTGTGGAATGTACAGTGTGGACTGTGCAGTGGGGACTGTGCAGTGGGGACTGTGCAGTGGGGACTGTGCAGTGTGGACTGTGCAGTGTGGACTGCGCAGTGTGGACTGCGCAGTGTGGACTGTGCAGTGTGGAATGTACAGTGTGGACTGTGCAGTGGGGACTGTGCAGTGGGGACTGTGCAGTGTGGACTGTGCAGTGTGGACTGTGCAGTGTGGACTGTGCAGTGGGGACTGTGCAGTGTGGACTTGCAGTGTGGACTGTGCAGTGTGGACTGTGCAGTGGGGACTTGCAGTGAGGACTGTGCAGTGTGGACTTGCAGTGTGGACTGTGCAGTGTGGACTTGCAGTGAGGAATGTACAGTGAGGAATGTACAGTGGGGACTTGCAGTGTGGCTGTGCAGTGTGGACTGCAGTGTGGAATGTACAGTGGGGACTGTGCAGTGTGGACTGTGCAGTGTGGACAGTGCCTCCTACAAGGACCATGCTTCCTGGCTTTACTCCCTTGCCCACAGAATACACTCAAGAGGATCTTCCTCATAGAATTTGAGGCCATCTCAGGCAAGGTTACATTATGAAAGGCTTAGGGTTTATATAGCTGTGATAAAACACCATGACTAAATAGCAAGTTGGGGCTGGGCAGTGGTGGCGCATGCCTTTAATCCCAGCACTTGGGAGGCAGAGGCAGATGGATCTCTGCAAGTTCCAGGCCAGCCTGGTCTTCAAAGTGAGTTCCAGTACAGTTTCCAAAGCTACACAGAGAAACCCTGTCTCGAAAAACCAAACCAAACCAAACCAAACCAACAACAGCAGCAACAACAAAACAAAACCAAAAAGCAAGTTGGGGAGGAAAGGGTTTATTTGGCTGACACTTCCACATGGCTGTGCATGACTGAGGAAGTCAGGACAGGGGCTCAAACAGGGCAGGATCCTGGAGGCAGGGGCTGATGCAGAGGTTGGGGAAGGGTGCTACTTACTGGCTTGCTTCCCCTGGCTTGCTCAGCCTGCTTTCTTACAGAACCCAGGACCACCAACCAGGGGATGGAAATACCCACAATGGGCTGGGTCCTCCTCCATCAATCACTAACTAAGAAAATGCCTTATAGTGGGATTGCAGTGGAGACATTTTGTCAATTGAGGGTCCCCTCTTTCAGCTAACTCTGGTTTGTGTCAAGTGACATAGACTAGCCATCACAGGCCCCTAGCAATCAGGCACAATGAGAAGGAGGAGGACTGTACAGTGG